TACGGATGGCTTCGAGCCAACCGGAGCCGACTAATAAAGTGACACTCCTGAAGGCTGGATCGCAGCAGTGTGCACGTTGTGCCGGACCAAGTTGCGTTTGCACCTAAGCAGCCGTCACCACCCTGCCGACTGTGTTCAATGGTTAACCACGGTGCTGCAAATGACTGCTGCTGAGGGAGAGGAGAGTTTTACACTAAATATAACCTGGCTTAGCTGCTGTGGAGCGAAGCTGAGGTCTGGGATCAGGCCAAAGTAACAGTGGTTTTCAATGCTTTGTCAGTCATTACTTTGCTGCCGCGGGGATATATGGACTCAGACCTCACTAACAGTAATTAGAGATCACAGTCGAACATCAGCGGCGGTGCTAGGCTACTGGGGCAGTGGTTTCGCGGCTTCTGCTTGTGGTTCACCAACGCTGCGATATTAAAGTTAGGACGAAGGTGTGCCAGTATGTTTGAGGTCTCCTGCAAATTAGATGGCGGCTAATGAGGAAGTTATCTGTGATGATCACGTTGCATTCAACTTTATAACCACATTATAGTTGCTCAGACACACAGTCAATATCGAGTAAACACTCGACTCCAACCTGGGAAAATGCAAGCTGTCATAGCCAATCAGGTCAGCGCTGATAACAGCGTAAGAGACCTCTGACCTCTGACCACCAATGTGTACCTCTGGAGCTCACAGAAGAAAGTGGCCACTGGAGTGCATTGTATGAACGGCAGTAATAACGGCTTAAACATTTACTAGCATAAGTGACAGGACGGCAGTGATGGGGCAAGCCCAGAGATGAACTGATAGCAAACTGTTGACTAATCAAAACAACTACCTCACTTTTAAACTGCTTTTTAGCACAAGTTTTCAGATTTAATCCTCATCTGTTGTTATTTCTGGGCATTAAAATATAAAAATAACTACATAACATAACTACATAACTACTGCATAACAAGGGCCAACACATACCAGAATGCCTGGCATTTAACCCCAAAGGAGAGTCTCTGACCCTCTACGCTGCCACCCACTCACACAAACGCACACGCCCACCCACACCCACCCGCACACACCCGATATAGACTAAAGACTTTGCTGAGGAGTAAAAATAGGAGACTGCTGTTAGCCCTTCATGGGAGGGCGTGCAGATGAGAAATATCTGGAATAATGACGGGCCAGAGATGCTTCCTTTCACCGCCTCCTACCCCGGCGGCGGTCGGTGAGCTCGTATGTTATTGTGGCAAAGTTGACCCACACTCTGGTGTCGTCCGTGTGGATTTGGCCTCGTACGTAGTGGGGAGGAGGGGAGCGAGCGAGCTGTAACCCTTATGATGTACAAAGGACTCTTCCTTTGTACTGACGAAGCATAATTCCATTTGCTGTAGTTGTCAAAGCAGCCGTTTCAAATTTCATTAACACCAAGTGAGTAAAAGGCGAAAGGGGCACTGTGTTAATTCTCACACGGCCTTCGTGGCAAAAGACACGGCTCCGCCCTCAGCAGTAGATTACGCCTGCGTGGCTTTTCAAATTTACAGTGGTGGAGATTCTTGACCCTGAGCCTCTGTTTATTCTGAACCAATGTTTACCTGCTGTCTGTTTATCTAAGCAGGCTGAGAAAAGTCCCTGTTTAAAGAGCTCCAACATGTCACCAGAGGCTTCCAGTTGCAAGTTGGCTCTTTCATGTAAACAATTGCATATAAAACTTGGGCAGTGACCCTTGATTCGATTTTCAATGGGCTGTAGTAGAATGATGTTTTTTGTGAGTGAATTAAATCGTGGCAGCCCAGATGAGGCAGAGGTTTATGTGTGGTATGGCGCCTGAAATAGCAGAGCCATAAGCATGGATTTAGATTGGGATCTTCTTAATGCATGAACTCAAATATGTCAAGGAGGGGATGTGGGCCAACAGCAGCAATGTTGCACTCTTTGCGAAACTGCGTGGCAAAACTTCCCCCGAGGGTGTTTTGTCCGTTCAGAAACTGTACCTCACAGCGTGACACAAAAGCAGTAATCTAAAAAACAACGACCCTGCACATATAAATCAGTCGACCTCTTCATGGAGTTACGCCACAAAGGCACTTGCATGACTTAGGAGTCTCACGGAGAGACGATGCTCTCACACAACCCTTTCACATGTTAATTCGGTATTTCACTTCACTGATGGACAGCTTTAAAACATGGGCTGATTTGGCGGCACTGCGTTTGAACGGCTTTACTTTAACTTCCCTCCTGTACACAAAGAACAATCAAGCTCACTTATGTCAACACTTAAAAGGCTCAAGAGAACTTACAGAAATGATTAAAAACAAAAAAAGCTACCGCAACGACTAGTTTATTAATCCATGAGTCAAAAAGTATTTTGACCGTTGATTAACCATTTTAGGATTTTATCAAGCAAAACGTCCAAACATACGCAGGCTCCAGCTTCCCAAATTTAAGGATTTGATGCATATCTTAAACTTATGTAGTTGGTTTTTTGAACTGTTGGTTGAATAAAAGAAGCAGTCTGAATACATCGCCTTGATCTGTGGGACATTCTAAACAGACATCTTTCACTATTTTCTGACTTTTCACAGGAAAAACAAGAAAATAATTAGCCAACAGTACAACTGGCACATTAATCTATATTTAAATCAATCTTTAGTTGCAGCCCTACATTCAATAAATTCAAGAAGAAGAAAGAGTTGTGATGGACTTTGGGTGTGTGTTGACTCAAACTAGCAGATTCCCGGTAGTTCCAGCTCGACCATTTGATACGACTCCTGTCTTGGGGGGGGTTTGCTGGCGACAGCAGTCTTGTCTCAACTAACCTTAAAATATCAACTCATTATCTACGGCGGATTTGCTTTGCTCCCACTCCTCATTCTATCAACCACTCAGTTCTCATTTGACATTGGTAATCAGTGTCAGATGAGACATTGATTACCAATATAATGTCTCTGCTGTCGGAACGGAGGCAGACTTCTTTCTTTTTTGCAAACTCAGCTTACTAGAAAACATGATAAGCCTGAACAAAGTCTACTTCCACAGTTTATCCCTCAGACATTACGAACTCTAATCTTACTGAAATGTGTATAGGTATTTGCCCCTCATATCATTTGAATACTTTGACTCAATACCACAGAAGGTGGTGTTCTCCCTGTCATAAAAGCTGTGCACGCTGCATGAAGCCAAGCAAAGCAATTAGGTCCCATGATTTACTCTACCTGCTTTAATAGGGAAGTGAGGGCCTCCCAGATGGAGGTCATGGTTCTGAACCTCGCTCCTCAGCTACCGAGTTAATCAGTTTGGAGCATGTGTTGATCTCGACATTGAGAGAAACATGCGGCTTTACGGCTGCAATTTAACTTTTTCTTCACAGCATGACTCACTGCCATAACGATCCATAATAACAAACAGGGGACTGATAATTAACGCATTCTTTTCCTCATTATAAAAACCCTGCATTTTCTGTCCACACTCGTCGTCACAACTGTGTTCCGCTGAAGTTGCTGCTCGGAGGCAATCTGCAATCCCAAACAGCTCAAGCAAAAACTTAACACATCATGGTGCATCGGGGGAAGTGCAGCCGGCTTGCCAAGGTAAGGACTACATGGGCCTCTCAAAAAGCAATTAAGGGAGAGAGAGTCATAATATTGAATGGAGAAGGGGGTGCATTCCTCTGAGAGAGGCAGCAGCAGTAGACTGTGAAATTCATATTGACTGGAGAGGCAAACACACACAAACACACACAAACACACACACACACACACACACACACACACACACACAGGTAAGCAGGAGAGCCGAGCTCTTTTTTCCCCCACTTTGCTTGTCAGCCAAAGAACAGCGGCTGTAGTCCGCTGCTTTCAAATATATTTCTGGTGAGTTCAGCCATCCAAAAGATGCACCTATGCAAAAGCGGCTCACAGAAAATCTTATGCTCACAGAAATTAAAACAGCACAGCTCTCTGAACACAACACAGCATTTGTGTAGAGGACTGACGAAAACAATATTTGGAAAATTTAAAAAAATCTAAAAACTGCTGAGCTCTGGATGTGCGTTCACTGATGTGGTAAATCCTACTTGATTAAAGCAAGAAAAACGCCTTCGACAATGAACTGTGCCAGTCCACTTAATTAAGTCAACTTGCACTAGGGAGCGCTGGGAAATGGAAAGCAAAGCAAACAGGGGCGCTGCTGCTGCTCGCCCGCCCGCCCACCCGCCCTTGCCTTCTCCTTCTCTTTCTCTCTGGATGCTAATCAAAAGGCTTGATCTCCAAGCAGGACAGGCCTCGGGGACGTCGCTCTGCTTGGCTGATCCTGGCAATTTGCTCTTGATAATACCGTCCTCTCACTCGCCCCCCCACCCCCCCCACCCCCTGGAACCCCGGCAACCCATCTCACCCAATCTGTGCGGCTATTGGAACGCACAAACACAACCCACTAAAGCTCATGTCTGCCTTCACCAGGGGGAATAATCACATAATGGTCCACAGAGTTATTACATGCTCTTTATTTTCCCGTCTCCCTCTGCGGCTCCAATTTAGGGATTCCACAATAAAGATAATTGAAGATAAAGACGTCGCTTTTGATCGACAAAAACAATAATCATGTATATTGTTTCAAGTGGAGTGCGAACAAGAAGCGCACGATATCTTCAATATGGGCATCTGCTCAGCCGCTGCTTGTGTTTTTTTAATTGTTTGTACAATATCAGCCAGTGGAAAGCATCTGGTGGTTATTACAACGCCTGGAGGTCTGAGGAAGGGGCAGCAAATAAGAATTGCATGATTTGTTTGCAGGTCTGCTGCACGGTGTAACGCGAGAGTCTGGGGATCCTCCTCTGCAAAAAAAACTCAGCACTTACCAAAGCCACAACCGCTCCATTTACTGTCAAGTCATCAGCCACACAATGAGCCAACACACAGGAGAGTTTAGAAAACCGGCACAGAATTAGAAGAGTCGGAACACCAGGAAAGAGAGGCAGGTGGGAATAAAAGAGTGGAGGATGAGGTTCAGGTTCCTACCTTTGAAGGAGATGAAGACGCGGGGTGCGGCCAAAGGGTCATTGCTCAATGGGTTCCCGAGAGCGAGGCCGGACAGTGCCAGGAGGGCATGGAGCGTCCACAGACCGTCCAGCTGCATGGTCGACCAACCTCCAGCGGCACACCAAGAGCCTTTTATGTTTTCTTTTTTAAATCTCTGCAGGGACAAAAACAAACACATGAGAAGAGAAGATGCGTTCTCAACTCTAAAGTGCAAAAAAAAAAGAATCTGCCACAATAAGTCTTTTATTCATTTATGTGACGTGTCAAATAAATAGCTCCCAGGGGTCCCATGATCCCTGTGAGTTTTGGCGATGCAGCGCTGAGGTGTGGGGATTACACCCAGATCTCTGGGAGCTTCACAACAAAACTAATGGAGACGGGCCAAGCTTTTAGAGATGTGTGCGCACTTCCATTTGGGAAGAATTATGCTTGTTTTTTTTCAGAGCGTGTGTGTGACAAACTGATGGTAAGGGCACGCTGACTCTAGTAAGAGAAGCTTTTCTTCTTCTGCTCCTCTCCACACACCCAAAACACATTCCTACGTCATGACACCATATGTGTGTGTGTGTGTACTGCTCTGTAATTATAGCTTCACCTAACAGCGAGTTGTATACCACAACCTCATGCTTACTGGAGAATGAGACAAAAAAAAAAAGTTGTGATTGGTGCAATCTAAAATAAAATATTAACTTGTTGCTAAAAAGGGGTTTACAAATGATGACGGGCTCAAACGCTCACTCGAACAGTTTAACAAGTCTTCCAAACAATGCAGTGGTGGTCATCAATGAAGTCCCCAGTTAATGAATGATAGACACCAGGGAGCAACCACAATGATCCACACATCTGTCACAAATCATACGAAAAGACTTGTCTAACAGGCCACGTCTGGCCCTTGGCCATCCTCCATCAAATCCACTCTTGGTCCATTTAATCATCTCTAGCATGTTGCCACTTGTCTGCACGTTGAACTGTTTTTTTTATACCACACTCTATTCCCCAGACAGCAACCTGACCTCACTGATTGGACACGAAGTTCTTCTCCGCATGTTTCGACAACAAACACTGGACATTTAAAAACGGGTCTCCATCTCAAACGCACCTTTTTGAGACGTCCACAGAGCCAAAGGGTCCTCAGACCGGCCGGCTGAGGTGGATTTATGAGCATAGCCCAGCTGTTTAAACCTAGTTGTTTACTGACAATTTGTTAACCATCCAGCTGTTTATTCTGAGACAGAGGCCAAGTACTTCACACACGCAGATGAAATCAAACACTGGCACTGCTCGCAAAATGTCCCAGATGAGACTGAGAGACACAGAGTCCCCTCACTTTAAACATATCTCAAGTAATTTTGAGTCGTGAAAATAAATTACATTTTGCAAAAAAAGGGCGGTTTATGGAGAATCATTTAAATCCATCACACTTGTCCAAACTGCTTCATACCTACACAAGATGTCCCACCCTCCACTGATGCTCTCAGCTTCTTCATTGTTTGCATCTAAGTTATTAACCGTCACATGTTGGGCAAATCTAAAGCAACTATTGAACTTCTAGTGAAAGGCAAAAGCTAATAACCGCAAGTCAGGTCGGTGGCAACATAACCCTCCCCTGAATCCTGCTGGTTTAAACAGAGGACAATAAATACGAACTTACAAATACACAGATCATTCATCATATTTCACAACAATAGGACTGGAAAACCTCCTCCCCCAGAATGAATTCAGAAAAAAAAGACAATGAAAACAACATCAAGCTGTGTTCATATATTCCCATCACAATGTTCTTCAGCAGTGAAGAAAAATGCGAGAAATAGGTTCAATGTTGCTGTATGATAGAGACTGTATCTGTGTGTGACAGACTGCCAGCCTTGGCCACACATGGACGACAGAACTGTAAACAGTCTGGTGTGGTATTAGAGCGCACGGTAAACTGAATAGCAATTCAAAAGATAGTAATAATGATTCATGTAAGGCTTTGATCTAACGTAAATTAGAATTATGATTAGCAATTTCTGTTCAAATGTTCATAGGAGAAAACAGTCGTTGGAACATGCTGCAAATAATACAATAAGAAATACAAAATAAAGAAGCGTGCAGCTGCAGACAGGTAAGCTTTTTTTAAAGCATCAATAATAAAGCAGGCTAAATAGAAAATAATACGCAAAACGCAACAGCACAATCAGGCTTACCTTGTTGTTACAGCTTTCCGAATACAACTTCAGATCCAACCTTGCAAGTCATTGAACAAAACCAATTCCAACAGATCGGTCACTTTCGTCTCCAAGTTGAAATCAATAATAACAATAGACAATCCCGGTGCTGCTGCTGCTGCTGCTGCTGCTGGTGGACAGTCCCTGCTCAGGAGGGCGGTCTGTACCTGTGCACACTGCGTGGCCCCGGAGTTTGTCAGAGCACAATAAGAGAATCAAAAAAGAAAATGAAAAAAAGACAGAGAAAATGTTTCTCTGGTACAATCTTGCGCGAGACCGCGAGGCGAGGAGATATCGTCGTCACACGCGCACAATCAACATCTCGTGGGGGGTGAAAATAAATAAATAAAAGCAGTTGGAAACAAAGTCCCTGCGGTGTAGAGAGGTCCAGGCACGCAGCGTGTGCTCCTCTGGAAAGTTGGGCGCTCCTGACTGTCAGGAGGCAGGGCGCTAGCAGGTGGATGCAGAGGCCCGTTTGCCTTAAACACACCCACAGGGCGGGCAGCGCCGATCCGAGCCGCCCATCAGCCAGCCGGGAGGAGACGTGATTTACTAGCGTGTTATACCGCTGTTGTGCTGTCACAGGAGGGGGAGGAAGAGAGGGAAATAATGGATCATCCGCATTCTACTGTGCACTAGATGATGTTTATTATTACATTAACGTGCAAAAAGTTGCAAAATTGTCGAACCACTTTCTAGTAGGGCGACCTTTATGTGCTTACAATGGGTTAATAATTGGATAATAGTTAATGGTTAATAATTAATTATCTTTATATATTAGTTACAGTAACAAGGAAAAAGTTTAGGTTGCCAAGTTGTGAAAAAAACCATTGGTAATTGGCAATAATGCGGATAATAATGCAGATCCATGTTTGTCATCTTTTCTCACACAGTAATCCACAGAGCCTGCAGTTATAAATGTAATAGCTAATTAATAAATCATTTTAATCATCATGTATTCAGTTGATGGCAGCCTGCCGCCCTTTTTCTGAAATAAGTATAATGCTCCAACCGATTAAAGGAAATTTCCACAACCTGGCAACCGTTTTATTCGTGACTTATAACTGATATGTGAATTATTATTATATACAGTGGTAATTCAAATTAAAATGTATGTCACATATGAGCACATTTTTAAAGCCAATCATCAGATGCAGGTTGTTTACGAGGTTTACTGAGCGGATGCAGTAGTTTTACAACATGACATTCAAACCTGCATTTCCAGATTTTTGGGCTACGGACACAAGTTACAAACGCCTCAACAAATTGATTTAGAGTCTTTCTGACCCTAATGTTATCCGAAACACTTTGTGGGGACTTTTGGGTTCACCAACATTTGGGTTTGGGTTCTCCTAATATTATGAGGACGAGGTCTGTCAACACGAGCGACCCCATTCAAATTACACTTTGTCATTTGATCAATTGTGATACAAAAACATATTGATTACAGCAGATGTAATGGGCTGAATGGTGTTCAGCTACAGAATCAATGAGAAGTGCAAACTCCATATATCACATAACAACACCAGTCTTAAACTGTTATGGGAAAAAGGAAGAGAAGCATTACTAGTTTTTATACTTAATATTAATAATTATATTAATTGGATTCAAAGTCGTAAGAGAAAAAACAGCTGCTGTGTGAATGTATAGACAGGTCTCTACAGCTGCTATAGTACTATAGTTCTGTTATTCGCAAAGGGGGCGTTTGCTTGCTTTGAATCAGTCGCCTGTATTTCCATCTTCCATCGCTGTGACAACCAGCGAGCTACCATCTGCCACCCACACATGAGGTGTGGAGGGAAGACGTTCAGCAGGATTTGGCTTAAAGGGATGCCTGCATGTGTCCCTTTTCTCTCAATCAACAAGTGAGAGGCTTTAAAATAAACCCTTTTTTTCACAAGTTCACTTTTACCTACACCTGAGTTATACTTTCCAAAGTGTGTACTATAAAGAAGATAAAATAACTTGAAAAGTTACATTAAACAAGTTTATTGCAGCATTACATTCATTTAACTCCAGTGAATATTTGACCTCCCGAGTCCATCTCGGCCACTTAGAGCACAGACAATGTAATGATTGCTGGGTCCACCTTATCAGAAATTGAAAGTCTTATCTTGGTTATGTACCCATTGATTTGAAAAAAAAAGGATGAGCAGTGTCATTCATTTTAATGGTACACGGAAAAAGTCGATTAAAATGCTTAATTTGCCCCTCTATTCAAACACTGATTGGGCGCTTCAAAGCCGCCGAGTTACCGCCTGTGAACATTTTCTAAAGCTCATTGAGAAAATTAAACATTTTTCCCGTTTTTAATCATATTCCATTCAAAGTCCTTTCCCACCTGCATTATCTGCCCCTCATCCAATCTGGAGCTTTAAATTGTCATGCGCTCGATTCACCGTGAAGCCCGTCTGGGAGTTGGAGAGAAAGTCTGCGAGTTGTTTGGCTCAATGCGGTCAAAAGAAGCTGTCCTGCTCAACTTTTCTTCCACATGAAGTCACGACGGCGGCACCGTGGCTTTCACTCTGCAGTGTGGTCCAGCATGACGGTTCTTTTTTAAAGTGACTTGGCAGAGGTCAAATAGAAAAGGATCAGTTTGATGTGTCCAAGTAGACTTCTTCCTCTTCAGGACAAGTTATCTATTCAGGAAGGACACGGCAAATTTAGCCAGAAGCGGGGCCTTCAGCTTCTGCAAAGCTACACATCACTCATCCGGTCCAGTTTAATGAAAGGAGAAAAAAACCAGCTGTCAGCCCTGATTGCCTATAGTCGATATTTTCTGCTTGATAAGACTCCAAGGTGAGTTCCCTACATTACCCAGAAGGACCTAAGTGGGCCTTAACTGTAATATTTGCGATAAGATCTTGCCAGTGCACGATTCCAAGCCGCCGTCGACATCTATCCAAGTGGTGTGTGAAGTTGTTTTAATGCTCTGCAGAAGAGCCTGCATTCCAGCTGAGATGTGAACAGTGCTTTCTGTGGGGCTCTGCCTGCAGGGCATGAACAGATGCCAGGTGTTGTGTCAGAATTTGTGATTCTTACACGGTTTCCAAAGATCATCTGTATCGCAATCCCACTTTCAATGTGTGTGGAGAGATGTGACGCTCCGGTGCATGCTGCTCAGAGGCTGCTTCTCGTTCCCGCATTGTGTTGAAGCATGTGGTGAGGTGATAAATGCGGTGACGAGATGTGGCTCTTTTTTCGTCTCTTTCAACATTCATTCTTCTTAGTTCTGTTGAGACTGAAATATGTGTCACAACCAGTGGGCAAACATCTTGAAGTTAGTTACTCACATATTACTCATTGAAAAATTATAGAAATTATTTATATTACTTCTTCCTTTGCTTTTGTCACTCACCCAAAGATGCCTTCAAACAATTCCTAAACCTCCAAGTCACATCTCCTGCATTTAACACACTTAGAAATAGAAAAACAGCAGGGGAAGAAATATTTAGTTCCTTTACTTCAGTAAAAGTAGCAATACAATGATGTAAAACTGTACATAAGTATAGGTACTAAAGCATCAGCAGATAAAATGCACTTAAGGTCTAAAACGTCAAATAGTCGTGCAGAAAAATGCCCCCTGACGATGTTAAATGTAGTGCATTATATTTTTTGATAATCATTACTGCATTAATGAACAGGTAGCATTTTAATGTAGTCAAGGTGGGTCAAGGTGAAGCCTATTTCAACTTCTTTTTATACTTTTGGTAGTTTAGTATATACAGATGCCATCGTATTTTATAACCTTTCATAGCCTATGTTTTTGAAGTAAAATGTGAATCAGCAAAGTAACTACAGCCATCAGATAAAAGTACAACATTTCTCTCTTTGTGAAGCCGAAGTAGCCTATGAAGTAGGAGAAAATGAAAGTATTCAAATAAGGTACAAGTACCTCAACGTTGTACTTAAGTACATTAGGCTACTTGAGTAATCCCTAGTTCACACTACACAGATTTTGCTAACTGCTAACTCAAGCAAAGTATCCTCATACAATGGATCGTATGACATCTTAAGAAAAGTTACTCCTCATTTTGTGTGTTTTCCTACAAAAGCCAGCAAGACGTTAGCCTACTAAGTAATGCTTTTCTGATCACAACCTGAGGTGCAGTTTGTAGCAATGACCTCTGCCCTCTTTCAAAAGAAGCACATTTAAAACACAATGTGCTCTTTGTTTTCACATTGGCTACAAGAACCTCATTGCCTGGCATCTGAACCTAACTCTGATTCCTGATAGTATTATGTCTGCGGCTACCACACTCTCTCTCACGCACAAACGTGCACAAAGCCTTCCGACAAAGCTAAGACTGCCTTGTCGCGCCAACAACAAGACTTATTAATACTTCAAATTCAGCAGGCAGGTGCTCACCTTGTGCTGCGACCAGATAGCAGAAAAGCTTTCCTCCCAGCACTTTCTGTGATGATGTCCTCAAAGTTATTAGCATTTAAATGAGAAAAGAAAAGCATCGCATCTCGATATCACAGGGAAACTCTCAACAATGTAAAACTTGTTCAACAAATTCAAGAGTGTTTAGAGAAGAAACTTTTCTCATCACCTGAGGTGAGTGACTGAATGTGAGCGAGTTAGTGACTCAGTTAAACAAGCAATTGAACAAATTAGGAGAGGAGGGAAGGGGGGGATTTGTCAGGCTCTCTGATCACACTTAGTGAAAGTATGCAACTCCTTGGTGCCGAAATTACAATTCGGTGCTTGAACCACCTTCCTTTTCCTCTACCTGCGGTTGGTGCATTTGAGCAACAGTTTCCTCTGCTGTTTTTGGCACCACATGGTGCTCCATACACTTCCCAGACTCTGCGGCCTCAACGATACTTTACTGCCAGTCTGGCGGCCCCTCCCACCCCGGGGAACCACAACCACAGAATGAAGGAAATGGCTTTGATTTCCTTCCACTTTTCACACATCAAATGGGGAAGGGGACTAGGTCCGTACGCTGGTCTTGACCGAGCTGGATAAACAAACTCATGCCACAGTGTGCGTGTGTGAGTGTGTGAGCGCATATGTATTTCTGTGTCGTTAAAATTGAGTGCGCGTAGGACACAATAAAATGTGTGTGTTGGGGAACAGGTGAGTCAATTTCACCCCACCGCTGCTCTACATCAGTGTTGACGTTATGTGAAAGGTAAATACTGTGTAATTGAATAAAATCACGAACCGAGACATCGGCCCGGGGAGAAATGGCCGACCCACTTCGAGATTCTCAATACGCCTCTGTTCTCCGAGGCTGGCTGTCTGGGGTCTTTTTTTGGCCGTCACTGTAAAGTTGAGTGGCAAAATTTGAACAAATAAGCCACCTACCCGAGTTTGAATGGTGATTTCATTCAGCAGAGGACTGGGTCTGATTATAAAAAAAGAAACCCAAGTCCTCTAGGTGGGCCATGTATGATTCATACTTAGTATGCGTCATATTTCCTCTTCACACCA